AAATACCACCCAAAACGTACTCTCCTCACAAGACCTCCTACTCTCTAGTTCCCTGTTTTCCTCCTCCCATGCCCATCTACAGGAATTCTCCAGGGCTTCCCCCATTCTCTGGAACTCCCTACTCCAATCCATCAGACTGTCACCTACTCTCCTCACCTTTAGGCGCACTCTGAAAACCTATCTCCCCAGGGAAGCCTACCTCAGCTAATTACTGAACTCCTCCACTCTTCCTACCACTCCATCCCCCACAGCTATTTCCTCCTGTACCACTATCTCCTCCCTCCTAGATTGTAAGCTCCAAGGAGCTTGGCCCTCGAACCCCTCGTGTATTGAATCGTATTGTTACTGTACTGTCTCGTGTACTGTCTCCCTTTATAATGTACAGCGCTGAGCAAACTGTTGGCGCTAAATAAATCCTGTATAATAATAATAATAAGCTGTATTATGGCTTCTATAAATAAAAAGCTATCAATGAATGGAGGACTGGTGATTGAATGAAATGTCCCTTCTATTCACAAATCGTTTTTCATAGGTGAAATATATAGTACAACTTTTATAAATGAGGAGGGGGAGACCTCACACATTTTGTTTGTTTTAGATTGGCTAGTCCTTCGGTCACGAGTTTGGTGAGAACGGCTGGGGTCTGACGCCGCAATCGTCACAGGCAACAAAGTTATAAAGGGGGCTAGAGGGCCTCAGCTATGAGGAGCAACTAGAATCATTAAACTTATTCTCCCTGGAGAAGCGATGCTTGAGAGGAGATATAAACGCAATTTAAATCACATGCGTAACAATGCCACACCCAGCTGCACCCTGCACACAGATTTTCCAGCTAATGGACCACAACCTGTGTACCTGCAGCCTGAGAGCGATTGTTACTGGGTCAGGTTAATTACGCAATTAACCCTTCACACTGCCACCACCTCCTTTTTGTACAGAGAAAGAGGAAACCCGGCATTATTAGCAATAACACTATGATGTTTGCATAAGCGTCTGTATACCACTGTCACCTCAGGCGGGTTATGCAGAAGTTTAAAACACACAGTAGCGCTCTTCAGAGGCAGGGGTTCTTAGTTTGCATTAAAGAGCTTTAGAAACAGTTCAACACTTTCAGAAAGTAAGATTTATTACTAAAAGGTCAAAAGGGTGCAATAAAAATATTTACAGAAAAAGATGTAGCCAATATGTATATAAAAATATACAGAGAGCAATAGCACAGCAAAGAGATAACAGAAAGAAGTTTTAGAGGGATAAAGTACTTGCCGTCAGCCTTGGGTTAAGCAGATCAGGTTTCAGAGCCAAAAGGATGCCTTATCTCCGAAAGTTAGTTCCAATGTTAAAAGGGAGAATCTTCAACTTAGCTCACCTCAGCTTAGCTTAGCTTTTTCTAGGAACTCAGCAGGGTGTCTCCCTGAAGCAGAGAACCAATCGCCTCATTTGGGGAGGGAGTTGTAGGTGGGGAGCTCAGGCTCTGACCAAAGCCCTCAGAAATGATACTTTGGTCAATAACTTTTCCTAGGTACATGTAACATTCCACCCACTGGTAGATTAATACGCAGAATCGTCTGATGAACGTCTACATATGAAATATGACATACCTGCTGGGATGGTTAAGGAGATATTATTTTCTGCTCTCCTGTTGATCTCAGCTAGGGGATGTAATATATCAAACGATTTGTATTAAAGTGAGCCATCCGAATATGGGCTCCATGTTTATGTAATTATGTCCTATTTGAAGATATACAATTATATGGAAAAGTGAGTTTTTAAATGTAAGTCTGTATTTACGACTACCTGGAATGTCTTGGAAGCTCAGTGAGGGCTTGGTTTATGGTTTTACGATCCCTTCTCCAGCAAGAGTCTCACGGGCATAGGGGCACCAGCTAGTGGGGTTTATAGCCATGATGCCCTCCCAGTGAGTTTGCTGCCTGTGATCTCTGTCATCATCCAGACCACATTTCACTCAACAGAGAGGGAGGGGGGATATTTGAGGAATCTGATTTGGGGGAGAGAGAGATACAAGATGGAGGGGTTTGGAGCAAAATGGATGACCGCGTCCATCTCTGTGTGCATAATTGCTACACTGCCCTTCTCTGGACTTTCTCCAGTTCAAACACACCCTTCCTGAGGACTGGAGACCAAAACTGGATGGCATCCTCTAGATGTGGCCGAAACAGAGTTTTGTAAAGCGGTAGAATTTTTTTTATGTTTGCTAATAGTCTGCTGGCCTTACTTGCTGCAGCTTGGCATGCTATTGCTCAGCCTGTGATCTACTAGGACTCCCAAATCCTTTTCCATCCTTAGTTTCCCAAAAGGTTCTCCTTCTAGCATGTATCTCACATTCATATTTTTAGCCCCCTGCCCTTCCTAATCACAGCTTCCTTGCCTCACACCAAACACACAGGCCGTACACTGGCCATTGTCCAGGCTGTTCTGCTCCTCCTGCTTGTGCTCAGCTGCTCCAGGAACAGTGCATCTAGCACCTGGAGCATAACCCACTGCCTCAGTGTGTCAACGTCTCCTGCTCTCCAGGGAACATTAGAACTAATGTTTGCTGAATGTACTCAAACAAAACATTGTTTGTCAAGGCATGTATGGTCTAAATGGACAGGCACCTGAACCAGATGGATGTCTGATGTGAATGATATTGAAGACTGTTGAGAGATAAGGATAATCTCTGGGTCAATCCTTTCTGCCATCCTTGCCCATTCATATAAGCTGTATTATGGCTTCCGTAAATAAAAAGCTATCAATGAATGGAGGACTGGTGGATGAATGAAATGTCCCTTCTACTCACAAATCGCTTTTCATAGGTGAAAGATATAGTGCAGCTTCTATGAATGAGAAGGGGGAGACCTCACACATTTTGTTTGTTTGCTTGCATGGGGTTCCCCCTTAAAATCTATACAAGATCTGAATGGACAGGTGCCAAAAACAGAATATCATTTGAGAGAGTTATTGTCTACTGGAACAGGCTGAGAACCACACCATTAGGCCCCTTTCACACGGTTGGACCATCTGTCCGTTTTTCATCCATACGTTGACTGATGAAAAACAGACAGCAATGTATTTCTATGGACCACTGGATGTGTATGGATGATCATCCATTTTCATCTGCCTATAGACGCATTTCACCCAAAGGGTCTGATCAGGTCCATCTGTCAGTTTTTCAGGCAAACCTGATCAGACCCTTCATTCATCTCTATAGATCAGCGTGTATAAACAGACTTCCAATCTGATCCACTCCACTAAAAAAATGAATGGGGATCTGCCCCCATCCATATACGGGGATCAGAGGGCAGTTGGGTGTAAACGGACAGGAGAGTCCAATTACACCCGCTGGTCCACAGAGGTGAGCAGACTCTGTCTGTGTCTGTTCTGCATAAACTGAGCAGACACAGAACTGTCTTCTGTCTGTTCTGCTCTGATCAGCAGGGGGTCATTGTATAGTTCCCCTGCTGATCTAAACCAAGTCTGCTGGAGTGTGAAAGATGCCTATGGTGTAAAATGGCCAGAAGTCTGGATAATCACTTTAATGTTGCTGTGTGAAATTTAAATACTCCCCTGTGAGGGGCACTTTTTGTTATACGGCTTCTTTGAGACATATAATCCTAAATATATATATAGTATATAGAATATAGACTCATCGGCCTCTTTATTAGGTACACCTGTTCAATTGCTTGGTAACGCAAATTGCTAATCAGCCAAACACATGGCAGCAACTCAATGCATTTCAGCATCTAGACATGGTGAAGATGACTTGCTGAAGTTCAAACAGAACACCAGAATGAGGCAGAATAGGGATTTAAGTGACTTCGCATGGTTGTTGGTGCCAGACAAACTGGACTGAGTATTTCAAAAACTGATGATCTACTGGGATTTTTGCTCACAACCATCTATAGGGTTTACAAAGAATGGTCCAAAAAAGTCCCTTAAATCCCCTTTCTTCCTCATTCCGATGCTCAGTTGAACGTCAGCACTTACAACAGGTGGAATTTTTTAATGTAGATTAATAAATGTCAAATTTTAAACAGGGTACAACCCACCTTTCTCAAGATGTCTTGTGAAAGGTGGGCTTCACCCTGCAGAAACGTTGACATTTATTGAAACTATGTTGGAAAATTCTTCCTGTTCTAAGACCCGCTAAGTGCTTTGCTTTCTGCTTCATATTTGACATACTTTTTTCATGGATTGCACATGGGCCCACCTCTACATTATAGAGACAGTATATACTGTATATTTATATACATACCAACACATATAAATAGCTCTTCAGTTAGAACCTACAGAAAATTCAATGTCTTTTATTTTACAGTGAATTATATGTAAATATGACAAATTTTAAAAAATATCCAATTTGCATGATTAGTAAAGCATGTTATCTCCTTTTTTAAAAGGAATGCTTTCTTTTATTTTTATCTTTTATATTTAAATTTGGTTCATGTTTATCTTTTCCCAGACTGTTTTCAGAAAGAGAAATGCCACTAAATCAGTAAAATGCAACAGTTTAGGGTTGTTTACTTTTGCTTTATGACCACCCACAGAAGCATACACGTTCAGCAGAACACTGTAAACTTTATTGATTCTTTTCCTCTTACTGGCTGAGTTTTACTACTTGTTTCTCTTACTAATAGTCTAGCTAAAAGGTTTGACTTTTTTGAATAATAACAACAAGGAAATGCCTGGTCCTTACACTAATCTACAGACCATACAGGTCACATGCAGATAATGTACAAAAAACATCAGGAAATGTATCTACAACTTACTCTGGTGGTTTAGTTTTAAAGTAGATCTAAACCCAATTACTAGACATTTATATGAACTTTTACTTGTTACTGTAATGAACCGCTTATCAACCGCCCTATAGCAGATATACTGCTACAGGGCGGCACGGGTGCACAAAATCATGTATATATACGTGATTTTGCATTTCCGGGTAGGGGGTGCACGAGGCACCGCCATTTGCAGCCACGGCTGTCAATCACCGGGTTCTGGCCGGCGATTACTCGCCTTTGCCCAGTGATTGCCAAGCATCTCTGACAGGGAGGAGAACTGTATGTAAACAATACAATTCTCTTCCCTGTCAGCTTGTGCACACTGCTTTGGATGTCTGTGTACAGCACAGCCATCCAAAGCAGTGTGATTACAGTGAAACACACACACATAGCTTACAGCAAAACAGCACACAGTTAACATTTTGATCGCCCCTCATGTTAACCCCTTCCTGCCCAGTGCCATTAGTACAGTGTCAGTGCTTTTCATTAGCGCTGTTCACTGTATTGGTGTCACTGAGGATGTCAGTGACACCAAGTCAGTTCCCCCCAGTGTCAGAATATCCGCTGTAGTCACGCTATAAGTCGCTGATTGCCGCCATTACTACGGTAGTAAAAAAAAAAAAACAGTATATATACCGCCATTTGTAAACGCTATAACTTTCATATAAACCAATTTATTTACATGTATTGGGATTTTTTTTTTTTAACAAAGACATGTAGCAGAATACATTTTGGCCTAAATTTATGACAAAATTAGATTTTTTTAATTTTATTACTGAACATGTTTAATAGAAAAAAGTAAAAAATATTGTTTTTTTCTTAAAATTGTTGGTCTTTTTTTTATAGGGCAAAAAAATAAAAAAGCACATAAAGTCAGTTCCCCCCAGTGTCAGAATGCCCGCTGCAGTTCCACTATAAGTTGCTGATTGCCGCCATTACTAGTAAAAAATAAAAAAAAATTCCAGCATCTATACCACCATTTGTAAATGCTATAACTTTCACATAAACCAATTTATTTAAACGTATTGGGCTTTTTATTAGCAAAGACATGTAGCAGAATACATTTTGACCTAAATTATGATGAAATTTGATGTTTTAAATTTTTTTACAGGACATGTTTAATAGTAACAAGTAAAAAATATTGTTTTCTCAAATTTTCTGGCTTTTTTTTATAGCACAAAAAATAAAAGACGCACAGGTGATCAAATACCACCGAAAGAAGGCTAAATTTGTGAGAAAAAGAGGACGTAAAGTTCATTTGGGTGCAGTGTTGCATGACTGCCCAATTGTCAGTTAAAGTAACGCAGTGCCATAAAGCAAAAAAATGGCCTGGTCAGGAAGGGGGTTAAATCCTCAAGAGGTCAAGTGATTAAAAAGTTGTTTACAGTTTTTTTTGTAATATGCATTTTCATTAAAAGAATAATTGGCAATAAATTAATATTCTTATCTAAACAGTCTCTCTCCACTGGTGACTGTCCCAATTGTACTCCAGTGTTGTCACCCTTTTCCATGTAACCCTGGTGGAAATTACAAGTAGCCTAGCCAATGCACATTGTAACCACTTCCTGACCGCCCTATAGCAGAAATACTGCTACAGGGCGGCACGGTTGCGCAAAATCACACGTGATTCGCACTCCTGTGGTTTACATAGTCTACATAGCAGAGCCATACAAAGCAGTGTGCTTAAATTGAAGCACACACACAGCTTACAGTAAAACAGCACACAGTTAACCCTTTGATCACCCCACATGTTAACCGCTTCCTGCCCAGTGCCATTAATACAGCGTCAGTGCTTTTCATTAGCACTGATCACTGTATTGGTGTCACTGAGGATGTCAGTGACACCAAGTCAGTTCCCCCCCAGTGTCAGAATACCCGCTACAGTCACACTATAAGTCGCTGATCGCCGCCATTATTACCGTAGTGAAAAAAAAAAATCCCAGTATATATATACCGCCGTTTGTAAACGCTATAACTTTCACATAAACCAATTTATTTATATATATTGGGATTTTTTTTTAAAAAAGATGTAGCAGAATACATTTTGACCTAAATTTATGACAAAATTAGATTTTTTTAATTTTTTTACTGGACATGTTTAATAGCAAAAAGTCAAAAAATATTCTTTTTTTTAATAGCGCAAAAAATTAAAAAAGCACTGGTGATCAATTACCACCAAAAGAAAGCTCTATTTGTGGGAAAAAAGGACATAAATTTCATTTGGGTGCGGAGTTGCAAGACTGCGCAATTGTCAGTTAAATTAACGCAGCGCCGTAACTCAAAAAATGGCCTGGTCAGGAAGGAGGGTAAATCCTCTGGAGGGCAAGTGGTTAATTAGCAACAATTGTTACTTTTAGGCATTATTCACTAGCTATTTTAGTAGTACAATTAGGCTACTATTACAATAACCTACTGTCTAAAGGTGGGTGTGCACTATACGTTTTTTTTTTTGTTCAACATAGCGGGTTGAAAAAAAAAAAAATGAGAGATTGCAGTATTAACACAGGTGATGCTAGTGTGCAGTGTGGCAATCTCCCTTGCTGTGCCTTTGTGTTTTGACAAAGGGTATTTCTCTCTGCCCTTTCGGCTCTGATCAGATGCTGATTTTCCAGCATGCCTGCTCAACAGAAGACGTTCGTAAGACTGGCTTCTGTAGGTGAGACAGCTGTACACACAGGCTGGATGTCAGACAGTTGCTGCCAAACCACTGTTTGCTGTTTTCAGCAATTTCTGTAGCCTGCGTATACCCAGCTTTAGGCTCTAGCCTTAACTGCTTGTAAATTTATTACATTTATTAACACAGGGTAGGTTACTAAACATGCTCACTTCTGATTGTCCCCTTTGGTTAACATTACTTTGATACACTAAAGTCTAGCCCTAAAGTCATGGGGGAATCCCAGAATTTAGTTGTTGCTGTAGATGGCATGCGCCTATTGTACCTGATCTATATTTATAACCCGACCCTACAAAAAGCCTGTATGAGCATATTACCGCACAATGCTATTCTTCAAACATCTGTGCTGTTCTGTATATGTTTCTGAAATGTTTTTGGCTAAGATGAGTGCTGCTTGGAACCGTTAAGTCTAAATGTCCTACAGGATGACTCATTTCAGAAAAGTAGGGAGCCAAGATTTTTTTCCTTTTCTTGTAGTTAAAAATTTAACTGAGCCAACTTTATTCACTCTGTGTATTATCATATTTCAATTCACTTTAACAAGCCCATCTTCATAAACTTTTTAAACAGTAAAATTTGGTGACAAAAGAACACAAAAAGTAAGTTAAATGTCTAATAAATAGCAGTATTAATTATTAGTAATGTATCTGCTATGCATCGGTCATAGTAATAGGCAGATGTGTATGAAATATAAAAAATGGTTTTAAAATTCCTTGTTCAAAACAAACCAAATTAATTTGTGTATTTTCCATTTTTCTGAAGTTACATAGGAAGCGGTAGTTCAAAAAAAGTCTGCAAATGACTCCCAATGGAAGCAATGGCCTCTACAGTGTCAGGCTGAAAACATAGGCAAAACATGTGTAAAAGAGCTACAGTAATTGTGTAGGTTCCTAATGCCTTATATCCTCTTATATCCTTGTCCATAAGAACTGACAGCATCAGGTGAACACTCTGTTGCAACTTCACCTAAACATCATTGTATGCAATTTGCACCTAAACATCAAGGTATGCATTTTTTTAAATGTGTAAAAACCTTGATAATTAAATTATCTTATTTGTTCCCTTTTGTTGTTTTTAAATCTATCAATGAAAGCAGTTTGTTGTATCTGTTGTTTGATAAGTTCTAAAGACATAACACATTTCTATCCCTGCTCCTCTATAAAAATACAGTGCAATGAGCAAGGATTGTCACCCTAATACAGAAAAGGAATTATTGGCAGGAAAAATGAATTTAGCCAGCACATATAAGGGATATAAAGTTATATTTTATATTATTTATGTTCCTCCTGTGTTTATATATGCAAAACATAGAAATATGTGTTAATGTTATAGCAAACCTGACAGCTTTTTTTTTTTAAAACTTTCATAGGTAAAAGTATGAGCTATGAAGAAATATTACCAGATGCAGAAAAAATTCTTCTGTGGGTTCTTTTCATCCATGTTTTACTTTGTTATACAGTATATCAGCCTAATTTTACTGATCTCAGGGCTGAGTTACCCCATCTGGAGCTAAAAATCACCCCCACCTTGAACATGTTCCCCTTCTCCTTTTTTTAAGCATCCCAATGTCCACTGATTCCTCCCTAGACTTCCACTAACCAACGAGGACCAGGAAGGGTTTCTGAGTACTGAGTACTGGTCAGCACTCTTGTTTAAAGGGAATCTTTCCTAAGAGAATCATGGAAGCTACCAGCTTTCCTTCATTCTGAAAATGCTAATTATCCAATCATTACACTGGCTTTCTGGAACAAGTGTGCAGGTAAGGACTTTTGACTTTTGTATGACTTTCTTGATCTGCATACTTGTTGTGGTTCAGTGGCTTAGAAATTATGAAAGCAAAAATCTCACTATAACAGCCAGGCAACTATTTTTTTAGATGAAGGTCAGAAATGGCAGCCTTCATATTTCAGTCAGGAGAAACTTTAAATGGACCTCAACTCAGCATTTTGAAACTGTGACAGCTGTCTACAATGAATTTTCCCTGTCCAACCATCTAATTCAAAAGAGACATATTGTGTGCATGCAGGCTGATGGAATGGTTTAGAACAGGCATCACTAAATGGTGGACCATGGTCTGGATGTGGACCGAATAACAGTCCTATCTGGACTGCAGTCTCTCCAAAAAGATGCCTGAGTGTTCTTACTTGCCTACCTGCCTACCACTGCCAAACTGTCATCCTCAAGGAAAGGCAAAAGATTGTAGGCGCAACAGGTCTGAATAGTGGGCGAGAATTTACATGGTAAAGGCAGGTGAATGGTTGCTTGGACTGCCCCCGTGGCTTATCAACTAATCACCGGCCTCCAAATTTGAAAAGCCTTGCCCTCTATTCAGACCTGTCACACCTATAATATTTTGCTTTTCCTGCAGGATAACAACCGAAGCAGTGGGCAGGCGGGTGGGTGATAACACAGTAAACAGTGATAGGACAACAAAGGGAGCCAGTTGGTTGCTCTTTGGTAAAGGGACTACTGTGAAGAAAAGGGCAGAAGTCTGCAATATGAATGAAGGACTGAAATGTGGAGGGGGGCTGTTATAGAATGGGGGGTCTATGGGGGGAGGGGTGGTATTGTAAAGAGAGGATTGGGGTGTAAGGATGGGGGGACTGAGGGCACTGGTATAAAGGGGAACGGGGGACTGTGATGTAATGCTAGCTTCACACCTATGCCTTTACTGTGGCTTGTGTTACGCAGGCACAGCAACCCATTCATTTGTATTTACCTTCAAGCAACACAGGAAAAAAGGTTCCTTCACTTTGTTAAAAATGTGGCTGCTGGGAAATTTCATGGTGCTTTTGCTCCCTGTGATTTCTGGCATCCGAAAATGAGTTGTGGGTGTGGCCGCAGGTAGTTGTGGGTGCGGGAACAGGTGCGATTTACACAATGTCCCGCACCAACTACCGCCCACAACAGGATGAACCTAGCCTAAAGGCTACATCTGAATTGCACAGGAACGCGCTGTGCATTCCTGTGCAATTCAAACCGCAAGAAGAACACACTACATTTGTGATCTTCTGCAGGTGTCAATAAAAAGTTGATGACACCCCAAGCGCAGGTCATAAATTCATTGTGTTTGTCTGCACCTGCCTGCACTGGATTGCATGTACTTTTGTATCATGAGATCCGGTTACAGTGCATCTTAAAAAATAGTGCATACATTACTTCTGTGTGGTGCGATTTCAGCCCATTCAAAATGAATGGGTTGAAATCGCACATCACATAACTGCATGTGAGTCTCACAGGAATGCACCATGCATTCCTGTGTGATTCAGATGCGGACCTGGTGTGAACCAGCCCTGAAGGGAGACTGTGATGTAAAAGGGGGGTGTGATATGAAGGGGGTCTAGGAAAGATGTAAAGGGGGAGACTGTGTTGTGAAGAGGGGACTGAAGACACCAATGTAAGGGCTCATTCACATTTGTGCAGAGATCTGTTTTCCTGCACTAGAAAAACACAGGTCTCTGCAAGAGCAATAGAAAACAATTGTTTTCTATGTACCCTGCTCACGCTGCATTTTGTGGCAATTCACTGAAGCTCACCTGAAGGATCCGTGTACAGTCTGTTTCTATGCATCAAATCTGAGCTGTGGTGCATAAAAATGAATGAAAAGTAATTTTAACATTTTAATAAAGTTGAAATAAAAAAAAAAACAGTGGGGAAGATTTACTAAAACTGGAGAGTGTAAAATCTGGTGCAGCTATGCATGGTAGCCAATCAGCTTCTAACGTCAGCTTGTTCAATTAAACTTTGACAAAACCTGGAAGATGATTGGTTTCTATGCAGAGCTGCACCTGATTTTGCACTCTACAATTTTAGTAAATAAACCCCAGAGCAGGGGCGGACTGCCCATTTGGAAACTCGGGCACTGCCCAAGGGCCCGGGGTCAGTAGGGGGCCCCATGAGATGCCCCTGGTATCTTTTTCATAGGCTTTTTTGAGTTTGAGTCAAGGACACAGGGGCCCCATGATCCCCTATTGCCCGGGAGCCCCATAAGTTGTCAGTCCGCCCCTGTCCCAGAGTAACGTAATTAAATGCACATTGCACCACCACTTTCTGGACCTCACACTAACAGGTGCCCACACAATTAAATTCTGCATTTTACCATGAGGGATAGGGTGATCAGGCCCTAAAGGGTGGGGGGACTGATGTGTACAGTAGGCTGTGATGTGAATAATCTGACTCATATCACAAACATGAGACTCGGACCTCTGCTAGTAGAAAATTCTTTTGAC